CACACACACACACACACACACACACACACACACACACACACACACACTTGCTCAGCCTGTTTTTGACTCTGATCCACATACAAAACTAAATGAGTGTCTTTCTGCTCTGACTTTTCTTTTTAACATCTGAACAGTGAGAGTGACTTTGAAGCCAAAATGTCTCGCGTGTTTAGAAGCTTGCAAAGCTTTAAATAATCAAAAAAGTTTAGTGGTTTGTTACAACACATCCTGTATGAAACATACGCTGCAAAATAGAACAGAGTCCTGAAGCTGGGTTTGGGACCGAGCCTAGGACTCTGAGACAGAAGATACGTGGTGGGTTTGGAGAAGATCTACAGAAATCTAATGTTAAAATGTCTGAGAAAGATTTTTGTTGTTTGGCTCATTTGGCGCTCATAGTCATGAGCACAAATATTGTCAACCATTGTCTCAGCCATGTTTAGTTTGGGATTAGAAGCTGAAAAGTTTAGGAACCACTGGGTTCAAAGTAGTTTTACTATCTGAGGGGAAGTACTGAGGCGCAAAATGTATAAAACATCTGAGGTTTGAATTCTGTTTGTTAGAGCTGACAGACAAATACATAAACCAAACAGTGAAGTCCTGCGGTGTGCAAACATTTTCTGCTGTAGTCGCAGACAACTTCTGTTCTTGCTCCTCAAGTAAAGATGATCAGGTTCTGGTTCTGACCTGGACCTATCACACAACACCTGAGCTTATCTTTCCTCACTGCAGTTAGTGGACACACATCAAAGTAGCATTTTATCTCGAGACAGTAATACATGCTTTCATAACATCCAGGCTTGATTACTGCACTTCTTTTTGGAATCAGTCAGACCTCTACTGCACGTTTACAACTGGTTCAAAATGCTGCAGCCCAGTTCTTAACTGGTACAGACAAAAGAGAGAAAGTTTCTCCAGTTCTGGCCTTCCTTCACTGGCTCCCAGTTCACGTTCAAATTCATGTTAAAATCCTTCTGCATGTTTTTAAATCTCTGAACAGTTCTCCTCTGATCTGCTGCAGCCATATGTCCCACAGCGCTCTCTGAGGTCAGCAGATTAGATGCTTTTATTGGTTCCAGGAACCCGTTTTAAGCTCAGAGGTGACAGAACCTTCTCTGCTGCAGGTCCAAGACAGTGGAATGAGTTACCACTGCATTTCAGACTGGCTCCTCTTTCTCTGTTTTTAACTTTCATTTGAAAACTCACTTTTATTCCCAGGCTTTTAACAATGTGTGAGTTGATTTTAACTTGTCTTATTCTATAATGTTAGTCATTTAGTTCTTATCTTTATTTGGATCTATGTATTTATCCTGGGTCCTTTGCTTGTTTTGTTTTATTGTACACCACTTTGGTTGGTCTTGTTGCTGTTTTTAAATATAAATAAAGTGGTATGGTATTTTCTTCAGTCTGAACCTGGAACCAGTTTGAACATCACGAGCCTAACAAGCTGGCTCCAGGATCATGAACCCTCCACCAAGTTCGCTCATTCCACTGAGAGAAATAAAACTTTTCCATGCTCAATTTTATTTCCACTAAATAGAAAAAAACATTTAAAAACAAACAAACAAAAAAAATACTGTTGTATGTTTTGTCCAAAGGTTTTAATGTAATTTTACGTCCCGGCTGGTTTTCCTTTGTATTTTGACGGAGGAGCAGATTGTCATAAAAAGTTGCAAACAGCAGAAACAAACATCTCCAGAGCAGAAAGACATAAACACTGAGCTGAAGAGTGGAGAGCAAAACGTTAACCTTCATATCGTCTTCGTAAGGAATGTTCAGGATTGTGATTTAAACAGAATAATACGCAGGTGTTTGTTTCTGACATCGTCTTGCGACATTTGTCTCCCTTTAGGAATTTATAAATATGTGAACTGTCCCTTTAAACTTTGATAAAACGGTCCATCACATACATGTTACTTGAAATACACATATTAATTATCATTAAATTATTATAATTTTTTTTTTACACAATGTCATATTTCAGTTTCAGTCAAAAATAATGGCGCTCCAAAAACAAGATTGGTCTTTAATTTTATGTTAGTGAGAAAATACAAACAATTTCTGTGTGTGTAAATAAATATCTATACAAATGGTGCAGATGAGTGCACCCCCCCCCCCCACACACACACACACACACACACACTGTGTTATGTGCAGCTCTCATAAATCAGGCCGTCTGCTCATCAGATGCACTTAGTTTTTAAGAACATGAACCTTCTGGATCCTCACTTCTCTTATTTGAACCCGCAGCTGTGAACGTCCTCCGTGCACTGGGAAAATATCTACACTCACACCAGGAGGGGGTCTGGACCCCCCTCATGCTCATACGTTTGTCTGTCCTGAGCCTCAGCAGAACCTTCCACCGAGCTGGCGTGACCCGACGAAGCTGCAGAGTTGTTACCTGGACGTCTTGGGCTACGTCTGCTCAGCTGCCTTGAGAAGAATGAAACAGCCGTATTCAGGAAATATGGCTGCTTTTGTTTCTTTGTTACAACTACGTGTTTAATAAACTGTTTACATCACTTTTCACTAAAAATGACTGTTTCATTGAGAGTTTATGACTCAGTGGATTATTATGAGGAAGTTCTGTCAGTTTGTAGATTGTTCTGATTGTTTGTGGACCCTGTGGCCAGCTGTGACATCACATCTGTCACAGAACAACGGTCTGAGCTGCTTTAATCATCAGAACCAACTGAATACAAACTGGTGGACCAGTGGTTAGAGCTGCCGTCCTGTCAGGGGAATGTAGGTAAAGGTCATGGATATTTCTCACTAATGTTAAATTAATGTGTGTGAGTTTAGAGAGTTGTTTTGTCTGCTCAGAGAGGAGCCTGCAGGCGCATGGAGGTGCACCTGATAAACTCCAAGGCCTTCTCTGAGTCTGTAAGCTGGAAATCAAAGGTGGTCTTGACCTCGCCTCTGTCTCATAAGTGTGTATTATAAAGCACTTCCTGCCTCACTGAGTGTCCGGTGCAGATTCTCACTGACAAGGCTCTAAATATGTAACTTTTATACATCTGTGAAATTTTCCTCGTGACTAAAAACCGGTCAACAAATCTTCTCGTGTCCTCAGAGTGGCTTGTTTGAATAAACAGAGATGATGAAAGGATATTTACTGATCCATCATTGTGGTCCTTTGAGTCCGGCCCCAACACATCCACAGCATGAACTTTACAGATTCACCTCCCGGCCTTTGTGGGTGGAGTCTGTGTGTTCTCCCTGTGCACAAGTGTTTTTTTCTCCAGGTACAGTAGTCCCTCGCTACTTGGCGGTCGTTTTTTCGCAGACTCGCTCTATCGCGGTTTTTCAAAATAAGATTGGACATGACACATAATTGTCTGATTGATGGATGAGCAGCATGATCAGCATGGAATTTTTATTTAAAATAAATTATTTTAAATTATTTAGCACCTGCTGCACCTTTGTGCAGCCCTTACTGCAGGACTTCCTGCTGCAGCTGATCAGCTGTTCACTGTGCAGCGGGGAAGTGGGCGTGGCCAAGAGCCCTTGCAGGTGGCTGAGAGCAGAGGAGGCAGAGAACTGAAATCATGGAACTGAAATCATGACATGCTGTGCTCTTTTAGAGCGTTTAGAGTTTAGAAACATTGTTTAGAATATTGCAAGAGTGTGGGAATGGTTTA